AGTTAAAGTTCTAGAAGGGTGAGCAGGGCGGTGGGAAAGTGGGAAGAGAAAGAGAGAAGGATGACCCTCTCCACTGTTTATATCTTCCCATGTGTGAGCCTAGGCGGCGTGAGAATGCTTGAAAAAGGAATTACCTGTTACAGGTGGCCTAGTGTCTCAATGCTAAAGGGTGACCTCATAAACTGGAAGAACGTTGTGACAGGCAAGCATGAACTTGTAATCAGCCTTCATCCTAGACTGGAGATCGCCTCCAATCACAGAATTATAGTCAGTCGCAGAGGCTCCTTGTAAATGATCATGTGTTTGTTTGCTCCCTGACTTCTTTAATTGCTAAAATTTATTTTCACACTTCTTTCTTAAAAGAACTTTAAGTGACGAATAAAAAATTATATAACAATGTGACCCATAAAATAAGATAAAAAAAGGAATCAAGTTTGATTAGAGGAAACAAATACACAAATCAGGAAGTTCAAGATTTGCATAAAATGTGACCTTAAGATGGCTAGAAGCCAAGGCAAGATTGGAGAACTGAAAATGCTATGCAACTTTCATTATCAGAAAGAAAAAAAAAAACCACATGGTAATTCCTTACAGGAGATAGTTATTCCTACTTTTAAAATCTGAGATAAATTTCTCACATGGTGCATTACTTTATGGAAAAGCTTCCTCTACATTTATATTTCATGAACCTACAAAATTTCAAAAACATTGGCTAGGGGGAGTCACCATAGGGATGTGAACACATGCCCACAACCATATCAACCAAACAGAAAGGAATTTTAACAGCAAAAAAATGAGGAAGTATAAACCTCAAAATAAAGGTTCCCTTGCAAATAAAAATGGCACACACCCAGGTTCCCAGTTAAAATACAGACAAAATATTTAGGACATACTTATTCTAAAAAACCCATTCATTGTTTATCTGAAATTCAAATGTAAAAAGGCATCCTATACTTTCATTTGCTACTTTGCTACATGTGACTCTTTCTCTCTTTTTAAAAAGCAATAGAAAAAATATCCTTGGGTGATGAATGAATGAATGAATACACAAATAAATAAATTAAAAGGCAGCCAGAAAAAATCACTGACTTGTACCATGTTTCCTAAGTATCATTTTGCTCAGTCAGTTTTTGGGTAAATAGATGATAGCCAACATTCTGAATTTACGTTGCATGGTTAGAATACTGATTCACAGGAAACCTATCAGAAAATTGACATTCCTAATGGATGTTGAGAAGCCTAACCTATATTCTTGTCAACAGGGATGGCCTTTTTTAAAATAAAATTTTCTCCCTGTGCCCAGGCTCCCAAGCAAAATAAGTTGATTGGAAAATGAAGGTGTTAGAGGTTAATGACTTAAGAATGGTAGCTTTATAAAAGCACTAGAGGCCTGGTGCATGAAATTTGTGCACTTGGGGCGGGGGGGCATCTCTCGGCCTGGCCTGCGCCCTCTCACAGTCTGGGAACCCTCAGGGATGTCCAACTGATGATTTAGGTTCGCTTCCCACGGGGAGGGGGCCTAAGCCCTCAGTTGGACATCCTTAGTGCTGCTGCAAAGGCGGGAGAGGCTCCTGCTATCGCCACTGGGCTCACCAGCCATGAGCCCAGCTTCTGGCTGAACAGCGCTCCCCGTGGGCACTGACCTGCGTTGAGCATCTGCCCCCTGGTGGTCAGTGCGTGTCATAGTGACCAGTTGTTCCGCCATTGGGCCAAAACCGGCTCTCCAACATCCCCCAATGGTCCCAGATTGTGAGAGGGCGCAGGCCAGGCCGAGGGACCCCACCACTGCACAATCAGAGCCAGGGAGGGATGTGGGGAGGGACTGCAGGATGGCTCCAGGGTGTGTCCAGCCCATCTTGCTCAGTCCCGATTGGCTGGACCCCAGCAGCAAGCTAACCTACTGGTCAGAGCATCTGCCCCCGGTGGTCAGTGCATGGCATAGCGAGCAGTTGAAAGTGGCCTTAGCATATCATTAGCATATTACACTTTGATTGGTTGAACAGCCGACCCGACGACCAGACACTTAGCATATTAGGCTTTTATTATATAGGATGTTAGCAGTCATATGAAATCTCAGAGCTGATGCTTGAGTCAATGTTTTTTACATGCACTTGAAGAGAATTCTGGTCTCAATATAACATCAATATGGACTTACTTAGGAAGGCTGCGATCAGAAAACATATACACTGAGTGGCAAGATTATTATGACCGGCCAGATTATTATGACCACCCCATCAGTACAATGAAGTGAATTAGTTATGCAAATAATAATAATAATGATAATAAAACCTTGGGAGTATTTGTTTAGGAAGTTTTCAATATTCAGTATTTTTGGAAGTGTCAATGAAGTACTGATGGGGTGGTCATATTAATCTGGCCGGTAATAATAACCTGGCCACTCATTGTAGATGCTAATGCAATAATAAAGATCATGCTACTAACTTATTGATATTCCAAGGTAATATTAATAAGTTACCTTCTCTAGAATGTTTCAAAGAGTATCTGATACACACAGCTATGCTCACCACACAAATGTTAACACCCAAGAGAACATGCACCAAGAGAGGGACAGACTTGCTTTATAGTATTTTGTTGTAGAAAATCAAATTTATCCAGTTCTGTGATTGGGAATATAGGATAAGGCCATAACCTTTGCAAATGGACTAGTTTATCTCAAAATCAGTAGACTTGTGTGTGTGTGTGTGTGTGTGTGTGTGTAGTGAGCTAATTATAATTTCACACTCTTTTTTGCTTCATCATCTCACTTCGAAGCCATTCAACATGAGGGGAAATGCTCACCCCAGTATCTTGCCCCCTTTCGTTTAGCAGGGAGATCAGTTTGTACGGCAGCGATCTGCTCTGGTCGCCGATCAGGTCCTTCAGGGATATAGTGGCTGTGCCAATTAATCTGCAGAGGAAATGAGAAACAGTAACCTAAGTAAGAGGCATGCTTCCATGACTCACCAGACCTCCTAATTTCCTTCCTATCCACCTGTTATCAATGAAGTCACTCCTAAACAAATGTGGGCCATTTTGTTCTCACCCTAGTAGGGTAACTTGGCAGTCAACATTACGTATCAGTCATCACTTCTCCATAACAAATAGTCATTTCAAGAGTCTAACTATGGTGCCTATGAAATATCAAGTCATGATGAGATGGGTGGGTGAGAGGCAAAGACTGAATATAGCCCCCCTACACTCTCAAATCCTGGAAGAGAGAAGAGCAAGAAAAGATTCAAGCATTCCTCTGTGGTAAAAATTTGAAAGGAGCCATAAAACTTGCCCACATAAAAGCATCCCCCCAAGCAGACATTGAACTGTAAATAGGTTGCAAGTTTACTGAGGGGGCTACCTTGCAACCCCATGTACTCGGGAGCAGCATTCAAAAGTTGGATGTGTGAGCTTCTCTTTCTTCTCCATAGACTATAGTCTATAAATTGAGGGTTATACACCCAGGAGGATTTGAGACTGGGTGAAGTGAAACACTTCCCTCTGTGAAATGCAATCAAAAAGCAGGGGTGTGCTCTCAGGATGGAGACCGAAAATGGAAAAGAGAAATAGTAAGATTTTTTAAATGTTATTTATTTACACCTTGTCTACATTTGCAGCAACATATGCTAATAAATAGCAGATACAATCGCATGGAATATCACTAGCATAAAAATACAACACTAAACATCAAGTCCTCAAAGTAATAAAAGAGATTCCTTATATAAAAAAACACACAATCAGATTGAAGAAACTGTAGTTGAGTATAACACATAACTCTGGTCTCCGAGCAAAAATAATCAGAAAAGTTCATGTTATGGGAAGATATTCATTTTATTTTGAAATGCAGTACATTTTCTTTAAATTTCAGGAAGTGAAAGTTGATGTCCACCCAGCCACGTCGTTTTTGAACTGACATATATCCGTATTCTCCTCCCCCACTCAGACCTCAGAAATAGGACTGGGGTCTGTCACCCAACCACATGCAGTCAGCAGGAGTAACACTATTAATTAATATTATATTGCACAAGGCCATAATGTTGCCATGGCATCCTGTTTCACCAAATGACCCAATAATGTGAACCATTTGCATATGGTTTCTTGGCAGAGTACGCTTTCGTGGACAGAACCCCAGACGAGACACTCAACAACCCTGATGGATTCCAGTCTCTTCTAATATCAAACATAGAGTCAGTTAATGTCAATGGAAAAGGACAGTTCTGCCTCCAGAGGGATGAGTGAGCTTCTCAGCCCTTTTGAGTCAATATAGACATTAGGTCTCTCAGGCGATGCTGAGCATTGCTGGGACCTTCACAGAAAACATTTTCAGATGAGTACGTTTACTCCGTGTGTTTGTCAGATTTTACATGAGTATGGTTTCTCCTCGCTTGGATTTTCATTCCCCTGGCATATTGAGGACAAGCACCTACGCATGACTCTATCTGCACCAGATGAAACAGGTAAATCTCCCACACAAAGTGAGAGTCCCTGGCAAAATCTCTTCCGCGTCCCATTTAGCTCCACATGGTGTGAGCCTGAGAACTTCTCTCCATATTTTAAAAATAGGGCAGTAAGCCAAGGCGTTGTCTAGTGGAGTTTTTAAGAGGAACAAAATGTGCAAATTGCAGCTTTCAAAGTCATCTGACAGGTATTGCGTGTCCTGGAGAGATATAGAAACACACTGGATTTTATTTCTCACAATTCCATGATTCAGAACCTAACTTTATGATTTAAATCAGGACATTGCACCCTTAAACATGTACCGATCTGCTTTTGCTAATGTCAAGATGACATGAATCTCTATCAGCAATAAATAAGTATTGGAACAAAACAAAAAGTACAGCTTGCTGGGGTAATGCTGAAGTTAAAGAAGATGCCCTGGGGCTAGACCAGCATCTATCAACCTCAGCACTCCTGATACTTTGAACTGGACAACTCTTTGTTTTGGGGGGCTGTCCTAGGTCTTATCAGATGTTCAGCAGCTTCCTTGACCTCTACCCACCAGCAACTCTACACATTGCCAATTGTCCCCTAGTGAGCCAAATTGCCCTAGGTTGAGAACCTGTTCTAGCCTTAACACTGTGTCCCACCGTCCTTCGAGGCCTTAGCTAAGTCACCTAACTCTCTGAGACTTATGTATTTGACTAGAGGCCTGGTGCACGACATTCATGCACTGGGGGGGGGGTGGTCCCTCAGCCTGGCCTGCACCCTCTCACAGGTCGGGAATCCTCAGGGGTCCTTAGCACTGCTGCGGAGGCGGGAGAGGCTCCTGCCACTGCCTCTGTGCTCACCAGGCTTCTGGCCGAGTGGAACTCCTCCTGTGGGAGCACACTGACCACCAGGGGTCAGCTCCTGCATTGAGCATCTGCCCCCTGGTGGTCAGTGCGCATCATAGCGACTGCCGTTTGGTCAATTTGCATATTAGCCTTTTATTATATAGGATGTCTTCTACATGTACCTATTTAGAAAATCATATCATGTTAAACATTTATTTGTCTTAAAGTCCTTGTTCATTGATTTAGGGGGAAAAAATATCCTAGATATCTGGGTCCATAATGGACAATCCAGAATACTAGGCAAAGGTTATGCCTTCAAAGGTATTAGTCTATAATGTTGCAAGTCAAACTTCAATTCACCCAGTGTGCCAGGAGGGAAAGTTAGGCCAATAACAGAAATGTGAAGCACAGTGAGTGATAGGTAAGACAATAGGGAGTGGTGGGACTTGTGGCTAACTGGAGAGACAGGGCTTGCTTAAAACACAAAACCCATCTGCTGGCCTTTTATGGTCCTGAATGGTTTTACAACTTCATTCTGACTCAACCACTATCTGCTGCTTTCTTTTCCCCATGAGAGAAGGTGATAACAGATAACTGACCAGGAATGGAATAAAATAAAGGAAGCTAATTATACAGCCTCACTGCAATTCCTTCTTCAGAAACCTTTAGTCCCATTTCTTATGATTTTCTTCATAAAATTCTGATGCTTTTGTGTTGGGGGGAGGGGTACAGGGAATGTAAAAGAAAACTTGAATTTCTTTTTATCTGAAGTACAGATAGTGTGTTTAGATTAAATCTCCAAAATATTTTTAACAGCTGGATTCAGCTGAAGAAAAATGCAAACAGTTATAACTTCTAAGAGCTTTCACTATAAGTGGAGGACAACAGCCCATAGGGAAGTCTGAGCTCCGTAGGAGCAAAGGCATGCCGGCTGGCCTGGCCTATTTTCTATGATGTTGCCTGGATACAAAATACTGTGAGTCTGGGAAATGATGACTTGGCCTCCTACATGGGGCATAAGAACAGTTCAGGCGGACCACAAGCCAATTTCCTTTAAAGGAGATGACAGTGAACTAAGAACCCATTTTTTTTCATATTACTAATACTATAAATATGTTAAAGTGTGACAGTAATGTGGAGAGTTAGCCCTGTATGCTCCTGGAAAAATAAGAGTCTCCCCATGGACTCCACCCACCACTGAAACAGATGGGCCACGTCTCAGAAGGAAACTTTATAGTGAAAGAATCCCAAGGCCCTTTGGCTCTCGGCTTTATTGGTGGAATTAATAAAATGCAGATGTATTCTGACGTGCAGAAAAAGCCAGTCCTGCTCCTTCCTGTTCCATCGATGTCCATGCAGCTTCCAGTTGGAATTCTACTAGTATGTGACTAGTGCTAAGCAGTGGGAGTAACTACTTGAAACTTAGCTGTTACGATTTGGGGAACAAAAGAGTGCGTCAACTTCATAGTGCAAGAATTTCTTCAACTGTTTCTCTCTTGTTAAAACAAACAGAGTCTGTGTGTTTGAAAAAGAGCGTTAGTGTGGACACAAATGTTAACAGCCGCATGCCACTATGGTGAGTAAAGGCTCTGCTGGCCGAGTTCTTAATCAGGGAGCTCGTGGATACGGAGCTGCAGGTGCAGCAGAGACACGCTGAGGACATGAGGAGGGAAGGAAAACTGCTGGAGACTGGAAAGTCATCACATGCTGCTGCTCTGTGTCTGCCCCTACGGACATCTCGACTTCCCATCCTCTGAGGGTGGAGAACAGTCCCCAACGGGGCTGGGGACAAATACTTTTCTGAGCTGCTCCAAGGTCCCCGAAGAAAACATGAAAGGGCCATTACCGACCCACTCTTTGAAGTGCTGGGCTCTCAGCCAGCTGAGCCTAGTCATTTGGGCCTTGTCGCCTGTGGGAAGGGTGGGGGCGCTGTCACCCTTCCCCACACTCGCCCCTCCCCTGGGCCAGGATCTGGCAAGCTCCTCCCTGTCTCCGAGGCAGAAAGCGGGAGAGCCAAGCAACACACCCTCATAGGGCACTCCCCCATCACCCTCCTGAGTCTCCAGCCAGCCATCTTCACTCTCTGGATTAGTTCATATATCAGTCCTCAAAATGTGGTTCCCCAGACTTCCCCGTGACAGAATGACCGGGGCGGTTATAGATTCCCAGGACCCTGAGTCAGAGTTTTCTTTAGTTAATTCTTATACCCAGGAAGTTTGAGAAACAATGGTTTTAGTGGGACAGGGAAAGGTGGAGGGGCAGGGGTTGGAGAAGGGGGTGTGTGTACTTTTAAAAGCACAGTCAATATGATAAATAGGCTCATATCTGAAAAATGGGCATAGAAACCCAATTATTTAATAGAAAAAAATATAAACAAAAGTCCATTAAAATCTATGTGGCAGGTCTAGCCACATGCACCCTTTCTGTGGCTTCCTGTCCTAACATCACACCAGGATTCGAGAGCCTAGAGGTCTTTGTCCTGTTCTTTGAAAAGGGGCCGGGGGGTTTAGAATCCATATATATAAACGCTGGTCTACACAGTGGTTCCCAAACCTGGCTGCCATTAATCCATCCACCCCTTGGGACCTTATAAGGTAAGGAGGACAGCTTACATAACGTAGGGATTAAGATCTTGGAGCTAGGC